CCCTTCCGGAGTCCTATACTTCGCGGCGTTCAGACTTTGAATGAACTTTGGTCACCCCAACAAGGTTCACTGACCTGCCACGGCGGCGAACCCGACAAGACGCTTGTATAACTTTCTTTTCTTTTTTTTTTTCCAAAAGGGACAGCACAGGGAAAATATTGATTTTATTTTCATGGTGGTACATTTAAAAAAAACTAAAATCAAGGGCACGGCAAAAATTGCAGCGGTTAACCCTGTGATTTTAAGGGCATTACAACAAATTGCAAAGGCACTAAGGCAAATTGCCGCAGTGCCACGGTCTATTTCAAGCCCTGCAGGAGTTATTGTTTGGTGTGATAGGGGTTGAGCGATAAAATAAGGTGGCCGCGGTCACATTGAACACAGTGGAATTATATAGAAAAAAAAACATTGGGGGAAAAGGAAAGTGGCCGTTCGTACAGGTGGCCGTCATGGCAAGTTCGACTGTATGTGTTCATTGTTGCTCGACTCCTTTGTGCAAAACAGTTTTTGGTAGACAAACCTTGTAACTTGTCGACATAGTCAATAATTCGGTCAGGATCATTGATGATCATCTCTCCGTGGACCAAGACAGGAACGTGAGCGCCATTAGGATTCAGACGGACGTACCATGGCTCCATGTGCTGCCCGTGGAAGAGACTTACAATGCTGGGCTTGAACTTGAGCTTTTTCTCAAATAAACTTATAAGCACCTGGAAATAATGAACACAGATTGAATCCACACATGCAACACGATGATAATGCAAAAATGCTGATAGAATGTATAATACTCATTGGTAAACGGTTTAAGAGCAAAATCTAGTCGGGCCTATTTCATTTTATACTTGTGTTCAAAACTATGAACCTACTTATACTTTTCAAAGCAAGAGATCTTTATACATTTTTCTGGTGAGTAGTCAGTTAACGTACTGATAGCTGAAAGGGCCAAAGTTCTTTTTTGTCTTCTTTTTCATCATTTTCTTTGGGAGATATTCCATAACGAGCAACCATTATTAATAGAAGTTAAGGTTAGGGTTAAGGTTAGCCTTTTTTATTGGTTAGTGTTTGGGTTAGGTCTCTTCTTTATGGTCTGAATCGGGAGATTGCTCATTACGGAAGTCCTTCCTTTTCTTTTAATCCAGCCTTTTCTTAATTCTTCAATGTGAAAAGCAATCCTTGGGAACTTTTTAACATAAAGTTCAGAATCCCTGGTCCAGAGCAAGTCTTAAGAAGTTTTCTCTGCCAACAGGCAATTTATTATCTCTGTGACCATCGACAATGAGAAGAGAAAAAAAATGAGTGATCCAGCTACCTACTCAACACAAGAACATTTCGCAATTTTTGAAAATTATAAGAGTCGAGCGGACAATCATCAATTGTCTGCATTCGGAGCCGACCTTAGGGTGCTTCGATGCTCAATTTCGTCGAGCACCTAACGCCACCATCGGGTTCCTTGACGGAAAAGTGAATTGGCAAGCGAACAAGACAGCAGAGTGGTTGAACAGCAAGCCCTCTGCTGAACAATGTGAGATTGTCTCTTTTGCAATTTCTCAAGGAGCCCGAAATCGAAGCGCCCTCAAACAGAAGGAGCAGGAGAACACCAACGTCAAGCGCCAGCGCCAGGTGGAATTGGCCCAAAGGAGGGACCGCACAGATCGGAAGAAGGTGGAGCAGAAGGTCACAGACTTCCTCACAACAGGAACTGAGGGAGACCTTTTCTGTGACCTTTCTGAAGACATGGTCCACCTTTTTCATTCCATCAAAAACACTGACTCTGCTGCGGTCAGTGGGGTGAAGTGTACTCACACCTGGGATGTGGATGGAGAGGATGTCATATTCCTAGCAGAATTGCTACGTTTTGAGATATTCAAGCGGAAGCCTTGCCTCGTAATAACGTACCAAGAGGACGCCACAACAGCTGCTACAGAGAGCATAATCCCCGTCTCTGAATTTTTGACGGATGCTCTCTTTAACGATGTGACATTGTTGTAGGCTTCCGCTTGAACATCCTCTCTATTCATATTTCTTCACCCTCACCTCC